AGAAGAGAAGAGAAGAGAAGAGAAGAGAAGAGAAGAGAAGAGAAGAGGAGAAGGGCAGGGCAGGGCAGGGCAGGGCAGGGCAGGGCAGGGAAGGGAAGAACAGCCAACTAAGATGCCCCCGTCTTCTACAAATAAATATGGCATTGAACAGAAGCCAGTTTGCCAAGGGTCCTCCATGGCCCTCAATCTGTAGATTCCTAAGAATAAGTTAAGTTTGAGCATACATCTCCTTTTCTCCAAATTGATGCACTCCATCCTTTGAGGTATGATTTATTTTTGTTTTTCTCTTCTCTATCGTGTACCACGTTCAGCCCCTGGGAAGCCTCGATGCCCAGCTCAAAGTTGTGGGGCTCTTTCTGGTGTTTTGCATCAATGGCCAGTCAATACGGACCACAGCTGTTGCTGGCCCTGGTTCTGGGTTATGGTCCAGGGACACTGGCAGGTTTTACAGTGCGTCCTCCTCGCTGCAGCCCCCACCAATCATGAAACGGAACTCCTGGAGGTTTGAGACACCATGGAAGTGCACAAAAGCCCCAGCAACCACAAAGATGTGAAAGAGCTGATGGGAGTGAAACTGAAGACAAAAAGAGGAAAAAAATAAGACAAAACCCCACACATAATTAAGAGTTTAGCTAAAGGTACTTAGAATACTGACTTCTGGTTACACAATAAGCTCAAGCACAGAGGACATAATCAGAGCTCCTGCTGCCCCTTCTGCACACATCCTGACACAGCCAAGGCATAAGTCTACAAGTTGTAGGCCCAAGAATCACAAATACACTTCACACTAGAGTCAGGGTGAACTCATGGCCACATACCATCTGGCAGAGCCTCCTTCTAGCACAAGTCAAGGAAGCAATGACTCAAGAAGTACACAGCATATACTACATAGCAGACAGTGCCAGTCTTCGAGTTAGCAAGACCTGGGGTCGAGTCTTGCCTCTGACATTTACTAGTGTGACTCTGGGTAAGTCAGCCCTAGTCTTGGGCTAATCCCCAACATTTATCTATTACTGCACAGATAGGCTGTATAGTCTTTGCTGGTGAAGGGATTTCTTCACACTGAAAAACTCACACATCATTTTTGTATTCCATAATAATGGCTCAATGGTACTGACATTTGCTTACAAGCGAAAAAAGGTATACGTCTGGGGCCATTATAGGATTCAGAGGTTCTTTATGACCAGTGATTCCTATATGGGCAAACCACTGTTGAGGTTACACACTGACCACCTACCTTAAGGGATGCTACAGAAGAAGCGCCTGTATATTGTGGGAGATTGGAAAACATAACTTATAAGATTTCTTTCAAGTTTCAGGTACAATGAAATACATGCTATGGGGATGCTTTTACACCAATGACAAAAACTACAAAATCACGAATTAAGAAGAAATCTCAGTTAACTACCTGAGACTCAAAATGTAGGATTACCTTCATTTTACAGATTGCTAAACTGAGCTTCAAGGAGATTTAGGATCATAAAGTAAGCAAAAAATGGTATTCAAGTGGCCAGGTCTCATATTTATTAAGTTCTCAAGAACTTAAGAATGAGAGCCCTTCTTCAGTTACAATATTCTTTATGTCTTTCACAACTTTAACCCTCTGCACTTTTATTGTATTCTAATCCAGACTTCTCTTCCCCATTTTATAGCTAAGGAAATGGAGGCCCATACAGGTAAGTGTCTTGGCCAAGGGGACAGCTAGCTAGAGGGGGAATGGGTGCTTGAATACAGGCCTCTAGATTGCCAGTATGGTATCCTTTTCAATTATGCTGCCTCCTTAACAGTCTAAAATCCAAAATGGTTAGGCAAGCATACTATACTCAGCTATCCCTTATCTACTACCATCAAAATAAACAGGCCACATAGACTCACCCAGATGTCACACTTTCCAGGGAAGAAGCGCTCTGGGATCCGAGCAGCATAGAGTGCAGCTCCAGTGATGTACAGACAGGCCATGAGCAGCAGCCAGCCTATCTGTCCAATGGTGGCAGCCTTCAGGAACCCCTCCGAAAAGATATAGTGCAGTGTAGGAATGATTCCACTTAGGCCCAAGCCCAGAAACACTCCTAGGAGTCAAATGGGAGGAAAAATCAACACAAACATGGAGAAGGTGATGAACACATTAGGTTGGCACTGAAATATCAACTTCGTAAATGGGAGGATACAAAGTACACAGAGTACAATATTAGTGTCCCTTTAGAAAGGGACAAAAGGGTTTGTGAAGCTCTACTCTAAGGCAATGCAACTGTGTTATAGCAGAAAATAAAAGTGCATTGTGCTCCCTCTTTCTCAGTAATGCGTCATCTAATTAGCTGTCAGTCTTCAAAGCTGGAGTGACACTGCTAGAGAAGTTCAAGTAAGCTGCCTCCTAAAAAGATAGGAATTACAACAACACTTTGGGGAGCCAGAAGTCCTACGGTTACCTGAAGAGATATGGAGTAGATTCATCCAAGATGGGAAGTCGTAGGATACCAGATACACTAGATGAATAGGGTGCTTGCTTCCTGTGTGGGGTGTGTCTGAGACTTACCCCTGCTCTCTTGGATGGGCCTCTACACAAGTTTCAGCTCAGCCCAGGGCATCTGATCACCAGGTATTTGCTTAACCAGAAGTACTGCAAAAGTATGCCCTGTTGCCATCCTACAGCTACCATTTGTGGAGGTGAAAATTCTCTCCCTCACTGTCTTCTCCTAAACTCTCAGTACTACATAATCTGTATCTTCCTCTGCCCTCCTATTACAGATTTAATCTTCAATCACTTTCCTTTATCTTAGATCTCTTCATCTCAAACTCTTTCCATTGTTTAGTGTTCACATAAACTCAGCTCTCTGGAAGATGATAATCCCTGCTTGGAGTTTGCCCCAGAGATCATTATGCCTTTCTTCTTCTTTTATTTCTCTGTCTCCTTCCTGCTACCTACAAACATGCCCAGATCTCCCGCAGCCTGAAATGGCCCTCATTTGTCTGTCCTATCTCCTCAAACTATCACCCTATATACATGTCCTCCCTTTCAATGAGAAGCACCTATAGAGTTATCTAATCTCACTGCAACAACTCGCCCATTTCTCATTTCCTTAAAATCAGGTTTCTGATCCCATAGCTCTACTGAACCTGCTATCTGCAAGGTAAGCAATAATCTCAATCCCAATCTGATTGCCTTTTCTCAGCCCTCATCCTACCTGACCTCTCCAAAGATTCAGACATCGAAAATTTAAACTATGAAGTTTATAAAAAACACTTCCACGCTCTATCCCCAGAAATTCTTTCCTCCCTCTGGGTCTCTGTGACATTATTCCCTTTTGGTTTTCCTCCTATCTGACAGTGCCTATCTCTCTCCTGAGAGCCAGAATGGCACCTCCAGCTGCCTGCTGGTGAACTCCACCCTTATGTCCTACATGCATCTCATACTCTATGCCCAAAAACAGACCTCTATCACCCTAAATCCTTGCCCTTCTAAGTTCCCTATTTCTGTTGAGGGTACCACCATTTTCCCAGTCATCCTGGTTTATAATCTGGCATCTTCAATTATTTCCTCTCCCTCCAAATTCAATTAGGGGCCAAACCTCATTAATTCTATCTCTACAGCAACTCTTACAACTGTTTGTTTCTCTCCATTCACAACATAATTCACTTAAGTTCAGGCCCTCATCACCTCTTGCCTGGATTACTGTTATACGAGTTAAAAAAAAAAAACAACTTTATTACACAGCAACAAAACTCCAATTACACATAATCAGTATTCATTGATTGGTACTACTTTGTTAAGTACTACCAAAACATTCTCTGGGAAGTATACTTTGTGGCTTATGTATGTTTGCTTTGTTAAAATTTATTTCCACAAAAAGGAACAATTAAACATAAGATAACAGAATAGATTTAGAGCAGTAAAAGACTTTTAGAGATCCTACAATTCATTCATTTTGCAAATGAGGAAACTGATTCTTAAAGTGGGGAAGTGATTTACCAAGGTAAATTACATATAGAGAATAAACAGCAGAACCAACGCAAGCACAGGTCTTCTTCCTCCAAATATAGGGTTTTTTGCATCCTACCATCCTGATATATCCTGCTTAATTATTATACTCTCTCACTCTCTCTCTCTCTCTCTCCCCCCCCCCGCCTCTTTCTCTCACACCCTACCCCTAGCTTTAGAGACAAGCATTAAGCACTGTCCATTTATTTGCTTGAAATGCCTTTGACAAGTGAATGGTGAGACAGCCAATTTCTTTCCACAACCAGCCTACTTGCTCATACCTGATGAATTGAGTGTTTTCCTCCCAACTTTTCATATTAGGAAAAAAAAATCACAGCTGTACCTTTCCCACCCTCAGTCCTTCCTTTTAATACTTTCTGCTTCACTTCTAGAACAGCACCTATAAGAAAAGAATCCAAAGGTCTTCCCATATCATCTTTAGACTGAAGAGACATGACCTAGAATTCATCATTTTTATTCCTGCAGCAGAAGTAATGAAAAGGAGCCACATGTGATGATCAGACAAGTAGAATGGTTATGCAGAATCACCACAGAGAGTGCTAGCTAAACTTTCACAGCAATTAATTCACTCAAAAGTTCCCCTGAAAAGAACTAAAGGCCTCCTTCATTTTACAAAGTTTAAAAAGCTTGCCATTCAGAACATTATATAGCCACAACCATAAATACACCACCAGAAGAGTACAGGTTCATTTACATACTACCCTTTCTCCTCAATTAGAAGTTCTCCAACTGCTGAAATAATACTCTTACCTGCTCTCACCCCACGATACTGAGGGGTGGCAAACATATCCCACTGGGAGACAATGATGGCTGCAATCCCCAGTACACAGATGACAATCAAGTAGATGAAGCAAGGCTGTGGATTACAGTAGAAGGAGTAATAAAGCCAAGGAACAAAACTTCCCATGATCAGGAGGGCAATGCCAGAGTAATCCAGTCTAGAATAGGGACAAATATTCAGTTTAATAACCCCCCCAAAAAAAATTTAATCCCAGAACCCTAATGAGCCCCATTTGCTCTGAATTATCAGCAATAACTAAGAGGAAACTTTTGGCTTCCTTAAAATAAGCAGTACTGAGACTGCTAAATATATTCCCCTAGGCCAAATCAGATTGGTATTCCTATATAATTACGCAAGCCTTATAGCAGGAATTCTTAACCTTTTTTGTATCATGGATTCCCTTTAGCACTGTGGTAAAACTATGTACCCTTCCCAGAATGTTTTTAAATATACAAAATAAAATACATAGGATTACAAAGGGAACCAATTATATGGAAATAAAAATATCAAAAACTTTTTAAAGAACAAGTTTATGGATCCAACATTAAGAACCCCTGCCTTAGGGCCTTTCTAGATACCTACTTGGAGAAGATCCGGGAGACTGATTCTGAGTGGCAGTAAACAGTGTGGAAAAGCCATGAGAAAGAAAGGCAGAGAATGGCTCCCAGGAAGAATAATCCAAAGACCACTTTCTCTTGTAATGGAGCAACAAAGGAGATGTTTGGACGAAACATGTAGAAGATCCCCAGGCACAGGAAGAAAACACAACCTATGGAAGAGAAACAAAAGGGGAAGGTGGAAGAATGAAAGGTCAGACCTTTAACAGAAATAGGCCCATTAACTCACTGCTGGTAGAGTCATGAAATGATTCAATCATTTTGGAAATTATTAGGGAGTTATATGACTTAAAAAAAAAACTTTATTACACAGCAAGAAAACTCCAATTACATACAATCAGTGTTCATTGATTGGTACTACTTCAACATTCTCTGGGAAGTATACTTTGTGGTTCATGTATGTTTGCTTTGTTAAAATTTATTTCCACAAAAAGGAACAATTAAACATAAGGGAACAGAATAGGATTTAGAGCAGCAAAAGACTTTTAGAGATCATCCAATTCATTCATTTTGCAAACGAGGAAACTGAGATTCTTAAAGAGAGGAAGTGACTTACCAAGGTAAATTACATATAGAGAATAAACAGTAGAACCAACATGCAAGCACAGGTCTTCTTCCTCCAAATGCAGGGTTCTTTCCATCCTACCATCCTGATACATCCTACTTAATTATGGTATCTATTTTATCCAGCTGACATGTTCTATATAATTAATTTCATGATGGAAATAAAAAATACTAAACATTTAATAATGCAAAAGACAGTGGGGTCTTTTCTTTATATACAATTGAACAATATAACCCTCTCTTAAAAAAAAAACACTTTAGGGTTATCATTATGAAACTATTATACACTACCAATGGAGGTGTGCCTGCTATTTAGTTTTCCTGTCTCTTCACCCTTCTACACTGTTGCTCTCACTGTAGTCACTATGCCAATCTCTAACTGCCTTTACTCCCTAGAACTCAGATAACTAATTCTTTTACAAAAATATTTACCATTCTTTTTCTTTTTTAATTGTGAGTTCCAAATTCTCTCCCTTGTTTCCCTCCCCCGCCTCATTGAGAAAACAAACTAAAAAAAAAAAAATTTTTTTTTTTTTTTGGCTAGGCAATGGAATTAAGCAACTTGCTCAAGGTCACACAGCTAGTAAGTGTTATGTGTCTAAGGCTGGATTTGAACTCAGGTCCTCCTGAATCCAAGGCCGGTGCGCCATCCATTGTGCCACCTAGCTGCCCCCCACGTAACTACATTTTTAAAACTGAGAACTTAAGGATCCTCTCATATGACCATAGATTTAGAGCTGAAAAGGACCTCAGAAACTTATCTAGTAAAACCTCCTAATTTCACATAAGGAAACAGAAGCCCAGAGACAAATGTGCCTAGGTCACACTGGTTTTAATTTAAAGAACTGGAATTCAAAACCAGGTCTTATGACTTCCAAATCCAGAACTTTTTCCACTGCATCACAAGCCAGCAGAGTTTAAAATAAGTGAAGTAGCTGGTCTGTTCTGTAGTATTCAAAAGGTTTAACGAGAGCAATATTAAGAATGAATATATCTGTGAAAATTTTCCACATGTTTCTCTTTTCAGATTCCTTTTCTGCCAGAATGATGTAGATATTAGAGTAGGAAAGGTATTGTTAATTGAGGATTTCTTTCATTTCCCTATCAACAGAGAAACAGCTTTAACTATATGTTTTCCTGTTCTTTTCGAATATACTACTTCCCAAAGTGCCACAGGATCATAGATTTAGCATTGGAAGGGATCTTAGATGTTATCTAGTATAATTCTCCTAATTTTGTAGATGAGGAAAAAACTAGGATCCTTATTTGACTTGCCCAAGGTCACAATCAGCAGTAAATTACAGAGCCCATGTCCTTTGACTCCAAATCCAACACTCATTCCACTATGCTGTACTAGGACTGGTAACATAAGAAATCAGCAAAGGTCTCTCTTTCAGATTTCCAAATAGTGTAGGATATCATTTTAACTTCCTGAGACTTAAGTTTGTAAATACCTGCTTTCCTCACAGCCTGAGGGGATAAGGTAAGGAAAGAATTATCCACATATAGACACATGAAGACATCAAGCCATGAGTCCTCAGAAGGCTGGCTTCCATTTGGTTCCACAGCCAGTGATCAGATTAGTTTAGACTAACTGAAGTCTTCTGACTTCCAAGTCCAAACAATGATAATATGTCAACAAAGAGGAAACGTTTCAATGTCACATTAGCCTTATCAGGGACTCTTTGTTACTACATCCTGATGTAATGGAAAGAAGTTCAACGGACAGATCTGCCCCATATGACTTTGTGCAAGTCACTTCACTGCTATGTTTCAGCTTCCCAAGCTACAAAGGAAAAATAATACTACTTGCATTATCTGCCTCACGGGGTTGTTCTGGGGGAGATAAAAGGGGGTTTTAAGCTGCAGGGAGGATAGAAAGATTCTTAGAATGTGATAGCAAAACGTTTTGTATCAAGATACTATGTTCTTGAAATGAGGAAGTGATGGAGTGGCTGCTTGATCTGCTGGATCAACACATGAGTTTGAGTCCAAGTTCTATCACTTAAGGAGTCCTATGACGTTCTGCAAATTACAACAACTTCTGAGATGCAGCTTCTTCAGCTATAAAGTAGAGGTCATAATGTCTACCTTGCCTACCTCATAGAGTTGTTAGGATTAAATGAGATAACTGTACACGAAAGCCCTTCATAAACTATGAAGGATTCAGTATCTTAGTGTTTAACTATGTAAACATCAGTTGTACGACTATAAAGTGATACTATTTGTTGAGTGATCCTGCTTTTCATCCCTTTAAAAAAAAAAAAACATACTGGAGTTAGAACCCAACGCTATGCTTACATTGATTCTTTTAATCTAGCCTTTTACTAGACTGGCTAGCATGAATTTGAAGACTGAATGTTTACCAAAAAGTAAACTAGAAAAGGGATCAATGCCAGCAATCACTTAAACTCATACAGCAAGCTTTCTATTTTAAAGGTCTCAAGAGATTTACAAACAGGTATTCAAACTATCAGAACTATTTCACATTATCAGTGAGCTAGAATAATTTTACAAGATAAAATTTAGCCAGTCTATTTAGAGGGGAAAAAAAGTACTAGTTTTTTTTTTTTTTTAACAAAACTTCCAACTAAAGCTGAAACTTAAATTCAGAAAGCATTCCCAAGGATTTAAAAATAATTCTTAAAAATCAGGTCACCTATCATTATCTATGAAATAAAATTTCCATTTTAGCTCTACTCAAAACATATTTCAATCAGTGAGCCAACAAGATGTTTCTTGAAGTGTGCCTAATCTTCTTGTCTAATATCATTACAACACAATACCGGAGAGTGAAAGTATGTATGGTGTTGGGGCAAGTGGGTAGAACTTGGGAAGGGATATCCTTAAATATTTTTTTTTTAATTTGAACTTAAGAGAAAGAAGAGTGGAGGGAAGAAGTTCCATATACAGTACAGAACACAAAAAGTGCATTACAAATTAAACTGTGAATTATCATTTCATATAGCTTGCTTTTAAAAGATATAAATGATAAATTCTACCCTTATTTTCAAAACTGTCCTGCTTATCTGTACTACTAACTGAACTTCCTTCTGTTCTTTTCTATGTATTTTTAAAAAATGTTTCAATAGCCCTCTTTTTTCTCTTCTCTGTTGCTAAATCCCCTCTCCTCTACCCCCAAACTAAAAATAGAACAAAAAGAAAAAGAACATTTGTATCAAATAAGGAGTCAAACAAAACAAATATACATAGTGGTCATGTCCAAAAATATTTCTACACCAAAATGTGTAAATGTATTTTAACTTTCCTGTTTTCTGTTTTGGACAAGAACAAGGTTCACTGGATGTTCACTGACTCCAGTTCCTCCTCCATATACGTACCCTTCTTACATACCCCAAAGGAGAAATTTTAAGTTCCACTCCATTTTTTCTCCTTTCTGTACTGAAATATAATGTAGTCTTCTTTTTACTTTCCCTTCTATTTTCCCCCTTAAATGCCTTAAAAGCGAACAAATCCATCCCAGATCATCAGTTTTTTTTCTTCTTTAACCACCTCAATACCCTTTGAAGACATTAAAGTTCTGAAGTGAGATTTGTTTCTTCAGTCTCAGCCAATGGGTCAAATAAATTTACCTTTCTAGGCTGCTCTGGACTACTGTGTTTGTATTTCTTTCTTTTTAAAAAATAGTTTATCAGCATAATTGACCATCTCAATAACAAAATTAACAGAAATCATATGATTATCTCAATACATGCAGAAAAAGCTTTTGAAAAAATGCAACACCCATTCCTATTAAAAACACTAGAGAGCATAGGAAATAAATGGAGTCTTCCTTAAAATGATAGGTAGTAGCTACCAGCAAGCATTATATGCAATGGGAATAAGCTAGAAGCATTCCCAATAAGATCATGGGTGAAACAAGAATGTCCATTATTACCACTGTTATGCAATATTGCATTAGAAATGTTAGCTTTAAACAAAGAGAATTTTGTACACAATAACAGCCACGTTGTATGATGACTAATGTTGATAAACTTAACCCTTCCTGGCAATACAAGGATCTAAGACATCTCCAGAGGCCTTGCGATGGAAAATGCTACCTACACCCAAAGAAAGAACTATGGAAGCCGAATTGTTATTTTTTTTTCTCTTCTGTTGAGTTTTGTTTCCTCTTTCTGATGTGAAAATATGTTTAATATGAATGTAAATGTATAGCCTATATCAGATTGTGTGCTGTCCTGAAGAGGATGGTGGGGAGGAAGGGGGAGAAAAATTTTAAACTCAAAAGCACATGGAAGTGATTATTGATAAATCAAAATAAATTAATAAAAAAAGAAAAAACAGGAAATGTTAGCTTTAGCAATAAGAGAAGGAAAAAAAATTGAAAGAATTGGAATAGGCAATGAGGACACAAAGCTATCACTTTTTGCAGATGGTATGATGCATACTTAGGAGACTCAACTAAAAAACTACCTGGAAATAATTAACTTTAGCAAAGTTGTGGGATATAAAATAAACCCACATAAATCATCAGCATTTCTATATATTACTAACAAAGCCCAGCAGCAAGAGATAGAAAGAGAAATTCCATTTAAAATAATTGTAGACAATATATAATATTTGAGAGTCTACCTGCCAAGACAAACCTGGGAACTACATGAATACAATTACAAAACAATTTTCACACAAATAAAGTCAGATCTAAATAACTGGAAAAATATCTACCTACATTAATTTACTTATTCAGTGCCACATCAATCAAACTACCAAAAAATTATTTTATAGAGCTAGAAAAAAGAATAACAAAATTCATCTGGAAGAACAAAAGGTTCAGAATATCAGGGGAATTAATGAAAAGAAATGCAAGAGAAGGTGGCCTAGCTGTACCAGATCTAAAACTGTATCATAAAGCAGCAATTATCAAAACTATTTGGTACTGACTAAGAAACAGAGTGGTGGATTAGTGGAACAGGTTAGGCACACAGTAGTCAATGACTACAGTAATCTACTATTTGATAAACCCCTGGGATAAGAACTCACTATTTGACAAAAACTGCTGAGAAAAGTAGAAAATAATATGGCAGAAACTAGGCATAGACCAACATCTTACGTCATACACCAAGATAAGGTCAAAATGGGTACATGATTTAGACAAGTGTGATGGCATAAGCTAATTAGGAGAGCAAGGAATAGTTTACCTGTCAGATCTATGGAGAAGGGAAAAAATGTATGACCAAACAAGAGATAGAAAACACTACAAATGCAAAATGGATCATTTTGGTTACATTAAATTAAAATGCTTTTGTACAAACAAAGCCAATGCAACCAAGATTAGAAGGAAATCTAAAAAAAGCTGGGAAACAATTTTTACAGCCACTGTCTCACATAAAAGCCTCATTTCCAAAATATACAGAGAACTGAGTCACATTTGTAAGAATATAAGTCATTCCCCAAATGATATATGGTCAAAGGATGTGAATAGGCAGTTTTCAGATAAAAAAATTAAAGCTATCTATAGTCACATGAAAAAATACTCTAAATCACTATTGATTAGAGAAATATAAATTAAAACAACTCTGAGGTACCACATCACACCTAACATGATTGGCTAACATGACAAAAAAGGAAAAAGATAAATGTTGGAGATGTGAGAAAATTGGAACACTAATGCATTGTTGGTGGAGTTGTGAACTGATCCAACCATTTTGGAGAGCAATTTGGAAGTATGTCCAAAGGCTTATAAAACTGTGCATATCCTTTGATCCAACAATACCACCAGATCCCAAAGAGATCATAAAAAAGGGAAAAGGATCCACATGTACAAAAATATTTATAGCAGCTTTTACTATGGTGGCAAAGAATTGGAAATTGAGGGGATGCCCATCAAGTGGGGAATGGCTGAACAAGTTGTGGTATATGAATGTAATGAAATACTATTATGCTATTAGAAATGATGAGCAGGTAGACTCAGAAAAACCTGGAAAGACTTGTATGGACTGATGCTGAATGAAGTGAGCAGAACCAGGAGAACAGTGTACACAGTAATAGTCACATTATGTGACGACTAACTTGACAGACTTAGCTCTTCTCAGCAATGCATGGATCTATGACATCTCCAAGGGACTCATGATGGGAAGTCCTACTCACATCCAGAGAAAAAACTATGAAGTTTGAATGCAGACTGAAGCATACTATTTGCTCTTTTTTTTTCCCCTTCTGTTTTGTTTTGTTCCTTCTTTCTTGTGGCTCCTCCTATTGGTTTTAATTCCTCTTTATGGTAAGATTAATTCAAAAATATGTTTAATAGGAATGTATTTGTAGAGCCTATATCAGATTGCACACAGTCTTGGGGAGGGGGAAGGAGAGAAAATTGGGAACTCAAAAACTTATGGAGACAAATGTTGAAAACTAAAAATAATTTAATTAAGAAAAAAAAGAAAGAGTTCCTGCACTTGATGAGCTTACCACAAAATAATATTTATAAAGCACTTAATACAGTACCTGACACATAGTATATACTGTTTGTAAAGCATTCAACACAGTGCCTGGCGCATAGTAGGCATTATATAAATGTTATTATTATTGTTATAACATTCTATTAGGGAAGACAACACATAAGGGCAAAGAGAGGCTATAAAAGGTACTAATGCAAGGGCATGATAACAAAGTTCAAAAAGTGAAGAATGGCTAATCTTGGGTCCTCTTTCCAAAATGGAGGTTCCAGGAAGAACTCACCAATGGGGAATGCTCTTGCAGGGGAGGAAAAAGAGTATTATATTCTTGTGTCTGAATATCAATGTTCCTACTGAGCTTTAGTGTTTTCATCAGAAATGCTTAAAAATCTTCTATTTCATTAAAGATCCTTTTTTTTTCCTCCAGTAGGATTACACTCAGCTCTTCAGGGTAAGTGAATTCTTAGTAGTAAGCTTCTTTCTTTTGCTTTTTGTAATATTATATTCCAAGATCTCCTCTTGTTTATCATAGAAGCTGCTGGGTCTTATGTGATCCCTGACACTTAAACTCCTTTCTGGATCCTTGAAGTAATTCTTCTTTAATGTCAGCATTCTGGACTACGGCTATGACATTACCAGAACTTTTCCTTTTGAGGTTTCTTTCAGGTGATCAGTGGATTCTTTTTACTTTGACTTTTCCCTCTGGTTCTAATAGATATGGGCAGTTCTCAAGAGTTCTTGAAATACACAGTTCAGGGTTTTAAAAAAAGTTAAATCATGGTTTCCAGTAAGGAGGTCTTCTTATGTTTATTCTTCTCTCCAGCTTTTGTTTCTGATTTGGAGCTTGTGTCAGGGCCAGATTTTGTCCCTTGTTTGTGCTTCCGGTTTTAGGTGGTCAGCCCTGATCATTTCCATTCCCATGGGTTCTGCCCCTCTCCATCCCACCCATGGATATCTGAGGTTCAGAATGTCAGGTCTTCAGGATCCTCAATGATATCTCAAGACAGAGCTAAAGACTTTAAGTTCTTAGGCTATCACAGATTCAACACTGCTACTCCATACTAGTCAGTGATGCTCCCTGAGGCTTCCAAAACCTCTACCTAGGGGCCTTCTCTGAAGATTCCTCTGTTCTTGCTGTGTGAGAACATGAACCTTACAAGTGTGTCTGGCCCATTTCTGGCTACAGTGGAAGGCTACCAACTAATTTGCTTATACAGGCTGGTGGCTTTGCTGGTAGTTCCTTTTCCTATTGTGTATGAGCTTCTGGCTCAAGATGTGTACAGATCTGGCATAGAAGTCACTTACTGCAGTTTCTCCTCAGGTTTCTTAATCATTTTTCAATCACGTAACCAATGAATTGGGCAATCTCCCCTCTGTTCAGTAAGTTGGAAGCTTTCTTGGCTGGACGTTTAGGGATGAATTCACTGGTGTATGGAAACTGTATGGAAGGGAACTCCCTCCATCAATACGGATCAGCAACTCATCTACAGCAGAACTTTGACAAGTTTATATGACTTGTCCATAGGCAGTTTGTATGTGTCAGAAGCTGAACTTAAAAAAATCAAGTCTTCTTGCCTCCTTGACTGACACTCTATCTGAAATATCACACATACTTCCTCTCACAGAGACTTTGTACTTTGGGAAAGATAGACAGGAAAATAATATATCAAAAGATCTTCTTTCCATGCATCTTGACTCTTCAAAGAGATAACCAACTAAAGATGCATAGTTAAACATGCACTTTCCGATCTGGCTGATTTATTTGGCTTGGTTACATGTATCTGTTACAAGTGTGTATTAGAAGCAACGTAGGGGAAGTGTTGGTGCATAGTAGCAGAGATGCAGAAAACAGCATGAAAACATTAAAAATATGGAAGAGAAAACAAAAACTTAAGAAGGGGACACAAACAGCAATTTTGTTGTTACCTTGTCATATATATTTAAATTATTGAAGCTTTGTATTCTTTACGATATTTTACGCATTTTTCCTTCTGTTTTTAGAGTCATCTTTGCTTATATATCTGCTTACGTGCTGGGCTTTCATGGAAGTTTTTTTATCTCTTCATATTTTTGGCGTTTCAGCCTTTACTGTATTCCCATGTCACTTTCATGCCCCTCTCCATTCTGGGCTGCAAGGCTACCTCAGCTTCCTTGTAGTCGGATACACCTATTAGGCGTTAGGCAAACTAGGAGTTTGCCATCCTAAGTCCTGCCCGAGTAACCTCTAGGGAGAGATAGGACTAGCCCCAGGTGAGATTCAGTCCCCTTTCCTTCAGGCTCAGTGCCGCCCACAATGGCAGCCTTCTGGATTTCTCACCCCTCTGGCCTCCTTTTCTTTAAACAGCTACTTCTTAATGGATGAGCAGAAGCAAGGACAGTTGGGGCAACCACTGCAGTTATGGTGAATCCCTATATTAGGACCAGGTCCCAATTAAAAGCCAGCATGTTTTCAACCAATCTAATTCCTGCATCTCTCTTCTCTTTTCGTTCGTGTTACTGGAAAAAAATTTAGTGTGTGCCATTGTTAATGAGGGTAAGAAAGTTTGATCAGAGGCACAGTATGGTGGGCTTGGCCTCTATCTTAGGTTCAGCCCCCCATGAGCCTGATAACTTACTTATATTCCTACCACAGGCACACAGAAGCTGGCAAGGAAGGGACACTGAAGAAGTATTAAAGTTCTCTGGTGCTAATTCAAAAACCACTGTATGTAACAGAAGTTCCCATATATAATCTTTGTTTTTGCTCTTGACTGCATATTAAAATGTTTGTTTGCACGTGATTAAATATTTATAATAAGAAAGGAAATTTAAAGAGCCTCTTTTCATTACACTGATCCCTATTCTTAAATCCACAAAAATAAAAAGACATGAAGCATATTATTACAGTTCAACACAAATACCTAAGAGGTGCGTCCAGATGTTGCCCGTCTCTGTGTGTATTCTGAAGATGCTCTTGAAACAGGCCCGGAAAGAAGGCATAGGGGGCCTGTGCCCATGCAAAAGGAAATCGTTGTCTTTTAGCCAGTCAGGCAGTACATCATGAGGAATAACCCTCCATCGGCCTTCCCATACCTGTAAGGAAAATACTGGTTAAACAGGTTGTGGGTTAATCTATCAATTGGGAAATGCTGGTTCTAACAATAACACTCTCATTACAGGAAATCTAATACATTTAGTGCTTACTATGTGCCAGGCACTATGCTAAAGCAGTTTACAATTATCTTATTTGATCATCACAACAATCCTAGCAGGTAGGTGTTATTTTCTCCATTTGACAGATGAGGAAACTAAGGCAAATGGAGGTTAAGTGACTTGGCCAGGATCACAAGTAAGTGTCTGAAGCCAGATCTGACCTCAGGTCTTCCTGATTCCAAGCTCTGAGCTCTATCCACTCGCTCCACCTCTCTGCCTCTAAGATGAATTCTGAATATTCAAATATTCAAGTAATATCTTCTTAGGAAAGAGTAATCAAACTCCAATTAATATGGCCTAAGGCACATTACGTATTCTTGCTTGCAGAGAAGAAACTATATAGTAGCAGACTGCAACACTTTTTTAAAAGAACTTTTTATACCAGAGTTGATTTTAATGATCAAATCACATCCAGGTGCGAGATAAGCTCTCTCCTCAGCTGGTGGAGAGGAATTCAAGATACTCTAGTCCAAAAATTAAAACCTCAGCACTCATACTAAAAATGGAAAGTGAACTTCTTTTCTTCATCACACAGGCCACTGGCCTAGCTGCCTCCTTCCTAACACTGGTAAAAGCAGCCTCAAAGAGCACTATGGTCAGTTAGTGATCAGCACTCACATGCCTCCAAATTCACAGGGTGGTAGCTGGGAAAGTCACTCAGCCAGACTTACAGATTACGTGGCCAGAAAGATGACTGATTACTTACTTCCTCTAAACCACTACCCTCCAACCCCCTCAAAAAAAAATATAGATATAGATATAGATATATTCACACTACCAGTTAGAGAGTAACTACAATTAAATCCAAGGAAAGAAGACAGAATCCTCAGCAAGGTAAAAATCCTGAGTGTTATCCCTCCATGACTAGCATTCTGTTCAGGAGTCCCTAGGGGAAGCTGCCATCAAGAACTGGGGGTGGGGAGGAAGAAGATGAGATGATAATGGCATTTGGGAAGGTGACTGGAAAGGTGTAGAGTAGGATTTGGTGTACATAACAAGCTTAGCACTACTTCTTTACAACACTGGTTCCCTCGGGAATTAATATGAAAGAAAGACACAGGAGAAAAGGGGAAATGGATGAGTCATGTGATACTAGCTAAGGTAATTTGTGAATTTGGTAGCTATATTAAACTACCAAAGAGAAACTTAAAGAAACAAGAAAAAATAACAAAATTCACTTAAAGGAAGAAAAGATCTAGAACTGCAAGGGAAATAATGAAAAATAGTAGGAATGAAGAATCACTTCCAGCCCTCAAATTTTGCTATAAAGCAGTAATCATCAAAATCATATAGTTAAATACACAGTAACTTAAAATAGAAAAACTAGTCAACTAAACAGTCTAGAAAAGGAACAATCAGAAACAAAGTCAGTCAATAATTCAGTACTTGACAAAACAAAGAACATAAATTAATTAGGGAAGAACTCCCTACTTGACCAGAACAGTTAGGAAAACTAGAAAGCAGGTTGGCAAAAATTAGGTTTATATCAACCTTACACCATATGTTTAATAACTTCAAAATGGACACTAAAGGTCACACTATAAAAATTATGAAGAGAACAAATAATTCGTAATTAAATATATCCTATGTTTGAGGCAATCACAAAGTATAAAACTGAGTGAACTGACTCCCCCAGGACAGAATTTCTGGGGATGGGTAGGAGAAGGGATGGAGGAAAAAATAGGAAAAGAAGTATAGGAGAAAGATACAGAAAGAGAATTAACAGCTTAGAACAAGGTAGAAAACTTACCCAAATAGAAAACCCTCACTAAAAATTAGAATTGACTGAACAGAAGAAACTAATGGGACATCAAGAAATATTAAAGTAAAAAACCTGAACAATTAGACAATGTGATGTATATCACAGCAAAAAACAACTAATATGGAACAAATCAAGGGAAGATAATTTAAGAGCCAAAACTCTTACTGAACTCCCACCCCTTCCTCGTAAAACTGGTTATAAGGAACAGCTCTCTGGAAGGAAGGGGGAAAGGGAAAGATACATTAGGAAATGAAAGGGAAGCAGATAGAAAAGAGTGGAAAGAGCGCTGACTCAAGAACCAAAGGGCCAGGGTTCTCTGAATCTTATCTGACTTAGCTGAATCTGTGTGATCATACTTTTCTCATCTACAAAATGAAAGGACTGGACTAGAGTCAAAGGACTTCGTTTTAGATCCTCTGATACTTCCTCTCTCTACCTCAATTTCCTCCTTTGTAAGACTTTGAGATTATTCTTGTCTAGTTCAATGAGCCTAAGAACTTATATGTGAAAGAATAAATTCTTCAAAAAATTTCTCTACCACATCTTTTGCAACAGGTGTTGAAATATAAACACAATTATCTTTTCAGTGTTCTTTTTACTCATCCTTAACACAAACAAAATGACCAAATGTTCCATGAAATGGTATTCCTTATTGTCTATGGACATATGACAAAACCAGTTCCTTCAGTGTCTAAGGAGAGTCTGTGAGCCATCATTCGATTTATCTACAACGCCCTTATTTCTTTCGGTTTCACTCATATCAAGAATTCGAATTCTGATATGAATCAGTTCCTCCTGAGATGTGGTCACTCATGGGATCAGTGGGAAAAGATCTTACATTTAAAGGTCCAATATTCAAGTTAATGTTTATGGACAGTTTTTTAAAAAATTCTTAGAACCTCTCCTTGACCCCCACACAACACTGCTCCTCCCACACACTTCCTTTTAAATCACTCTGACACTATCACTACAGAAACAAAAGGGAGCCTTCACAGTATTGAAACACATTTGAGTTTTTATATGTGTTTTATAGGTTGCTATGGTCAAAAAACTTATCACCTACTAGCAAGCCTACAAATGATAAGTCTCTCCATCTTGGCTGAGCAGCTCCTCAAAAAACCAGATACAATCTGTCACCAGGACCACATTCCTGTAATGTTTGATATTAGGAAAGTTACATGCAGTTTTTCATTTAGTACATGAAAAAAATCTTAGGAAACGCTGTTACTGCTACCACAGGTAGTTCTGCTGTGAAGATGTATGAATTCCTAAGATACCAACATGCTATGCAAAAATTACACAATAAAAACGATCAGACTTATGGGGAAAAATGAGATTGAGGTATAACATTTAGAAACTTCATTAATGATACATATAGATAGCAACCTAATAAAAATGGCAGCACAGTTTTTATACAAGTCAGATGGTTAAGAAATACATAAATACTACAACAAATAGTGCCAGTGTCTGTTGCCTTGGGCTTCTGCTTGGCCTGTGCTACAGGTGAGGGGGCAGCATCTGAGAGCTGCAACACTAGAAAAGGGAAGGAGTGTGAGGTGTGGGTGCTGACAAGGCCTATTCTTTCCAAAGATATTCAGTAACTATGGCACTTTGAAGTCTGTTTGTGGAAGTGGGTATCAGAATGGTTGTGGTTACTGTGAATCTCTACAGACAAGGTTGTACAAACACAAAATTCATGTTTTGCTCAAATTATTCCGTATTATATCAAATGAGTTGGAATTAATTTGCATTTTCAAAGCAAGTGTTATGGCAGAACTGACTATACAGTTCTACTGCAAGTAAACAATTTTGTCCTTATTTTGTTTTTCTCAAGGGTTTTCTCCCACTCCTATGACCCCATGCCCATACTGAATAGATAATCCAAAATAAACAGTCCAGTAAAACAAATTCCCATAAGTTAAGTCCAGAATTTATGTCTCACTCTGCATGTTAAGTCCATCACCTCTCTGGCAGGAGATGGTTAGTCCACTTCAATTTCAGTCCTCAAACTTTGTCATTCAAGAATCAAAGTTCCAAAGTCTTTCAAAGTCATTTTTCTTTATAATATTGTCACTATTACATGAATTTAGCTTTCCTCTCCCTTTAAAAAATGAGATTAGCTATATATCTATTTTGGTTTTTTAACCAGCTCCTAGATTTATCAATTTAATAGGTATTTTTTTCTTTTAGTGTTTCAATATTTTCTTCTATTCCCCAGAATTTCTACCTTTTTTTGTTTACCTAGCTTTATTATATGTTCTATTTTTTAGTTTCATGTCCAATTCATTCATTTTTTCACTTTTTTGTTAATAAAAGTGTTTAGATATAGAATTTCCTCTAAAAACTGTTTTCGCTACAACTCAGTTTTAGTATATTGTCTCACTGTTGTAATTTTCTTTGATGAATTTTTCTATTGTTTCTATAATTTGATCTTAAAAATTATGTTTAGTCTTCAATTAATTTTTCATTATGCCTTCAAAAACCCTTTACTGAATATAATTTTTATTACACTGTCATCAATAAATGATGTGTTCAGTATTGGTTTTGCATTTTTTTTTGGTGGTGTCTTTATGCCTCAACATATGGTTAACTTTTTAAAAGTGCCATGTACATCAAAGACAGATGTAAACTCCTTTCTGTTTCCATTCAGTAACTGCCAGGGATGTATCATTTGTAATTTTCTTAAAATTCTTGTTTAGGTTATTAATTTTTTTCTCATTTATATTTTGGTTAGATATGTCTAGATCTGGAAGGGTACATTGAGGTCTCCCACTGTTATGAATTAGAACATGAGAAAAATATTACAAAATGCTGTTAATTTGTTTTATCTTAAAATAAATGTTTATAAAGGGAAATGATAACAAAAATGCAGCTACTCACTAGGTAAGAAGAGAAAACTGGGTTTTCCTGATTTGTATTTCTCTTATTATTAGCGACTTGTAGCATTCTTTCCTAAGGCTACTAATATTTCATAATTCTTTTGAGAAATATTTGTTCATATCCTCTGACCATTTATCTACTGGGAAATGACCTTTGTTCATATAGTCTATTCAAATGTCTACAAATCTTGGACATAAGACTTTTATTAGAGATATCTGACTAAAAAAACATCTTATCCTAGCTTCATTAACTTTGTTCATGAAAAAGCTTTCACAATCATATAATTATAATTATCCATTTTTGCAACTTGCCTTGATCTCTAGTTTGGTTAAGAATTTACCCACTACTGACAGTTGTGAAAGAAATATGATCTGTTCTTCTAATGTTTTAAAATATTCATATCATATATTCATCTTGAATTTGCTGTGAAATATAGTGTAAGATATTGGTCTAAATATAATTTCTGCCACATTTTTCAAGTTTTCCCTGCAGTTTTTAATCAAATAGGAAGTTCTTAGAGAATTTATATTTTAACCACTACCAGATGTTTTTCATATTGCTGCTGTGTAACATAGACTGAAGCCTAAAAGTGCTGTTCCCCACTTACATCTTTATGGTTTTTCCCTTGATACCTAAGTCTTCTAAATGAATTGTCATCATTTTATCTAGTTCTGTAAAGTAACCTCTTGATAGTCTGTATAGTTTGCAGTACTTAATCTGTGGATGAGCTTTTACAATATTGTCGTTTTCATTTTATTTGCACCAACTAACCATAATCACTGAATACTTCTCCAACTATTTAAGCTGGTCTTTATTTCTTAGAGGTATAGTGTGTAATTTGATCTATATAAGTATTGACTGTGTTTTGGTGAAATAGCTCTCAGATATTTTATGCATTTCGAAGTTATTTTAAATGAGACTTCTCTATTACTGGCTTCTAGATTTTATATTTATATATATTTAATTTTTATTTTATACTTATTTCTATTACACAGAAATGCTGTTGATTTTAATGGGTTTATTTTGTATCCTGATATTTTACTGAAGCTATTAACTAGCTCAATTAGTTGCTTTACAGATTCCCTAAGATTTTCAAAGTTAATCATCACATTTATCATTAAATAGGTATACTTTTGATTCCTCTTTGCCTATCTTTATGTTTTTATTTTTTTCTCTTGTTTTACTGCTAGTACTAACATTTCTGGAACAATGCCAAAATATAGTGGGGAGAAAGGGCATCTTTGTTTACTCCCACAAAGTTAGTGCTTTTTCCACTGACATTTGCTTTTTATCATATTAAGAAAAAAAGTCCTTATCACATGATATTGTCTTCATGAAGTCATGGCGGTTCTTCATAATCTCTGCTTCCTTTTATAGATATTCACTAACAATTTCTTCAATGATCTATTCTAGAATTTTCATAGGAATGGAAACCAAACTCACTGGACTGTAGTTTCTCTGTAGATTTTGTTTTCTTCCCTTTTTTGATGAGGACAACAGTCATCCTTCTCCAATAATACAGAACCTCTCCCCTTCTCCACCATCATTCATCACTATGAGTAGCTCATCAATCACATTCACATTCATCAGTTCTTTCAATACCCCAGGATACAGCTCATTTGGACCAAGTGACTTGAGTTCATCAAGACCATTAAGCATTTTCTTACAATCTCCTTACTAATTTAGGTATCAACTGTCTGATGGATTGGGGACTATATTTTGCCTTTCTTTGTATCCCCAGCACTTAGCACAGTGCCAGGCACACAGTAAGTGCTTAATAAATGGACACTGACCAACTATAAGCCATTTTTGTTCTGAAATTTCCAGTGCGACAGTCATTCTCCTTGACAAAAACAGAAGCAAAATTAAGAATTAAACAGATCTGTCTTCTGAATGTCATCAGTTCATCCCCTCTATTCAAAGTAGCTTTCTTATCCTTTCTTCGATCCTGCTCTTTCCCTAGATTCACCTTCAGAAATACTTTTTGTTACTAATCTTCCTTGCCAACTTAGCTTATCCTGAATTTTAGCTCAGATACTTTTTACAGATCTAACTCATATTTATGAATGAATGAAAAAAAAATTTGTTTGACTCTTACTATTTGCCAAGCAATTACGTGGTGGGGAAATGAATACAAAAGCAAGACAGTTCCTGCCTTCAAGGAGCACTGTATTATAGTAAGGGGTAACAACATACATAAGGGAGTCATGGCCAAGGAAGAGTGTTTGGGCCCAGGAAATCAGAAGGATAATGAGTAAAGTCATACTGAGCTCAACAGACATGTGCTTTCAGAAGCAATGGTAGTATACTGATTTAATAACTGTTCCTTAAGCAAGAAGTGGAAAGCTAGATATATACATATGCAGTGTGTACATATGCATAATGGCCTAAAGCTGGACAAATAATGAGTCATGTGCATTTACATTGGCTGGCTTCAATCAAGATGCACACCCAAAGGCAGTGGTTCCAAAACAGAATTAGTTGCTACCCAGGGCATGATAGGAGGAGCCTTTTTTGTTGCCTGCCCTTGCTTCCTACTTCTGTATATATCTTAAAAATCGAAGCTGATTTGTGATGATGTGAATCTGTAGCAATCTATTCAGGAAATTCACATTTTTTTGCTTCTCATTAACAGTTTCCTTTTACTTCCTCACAATGTCATTCTTGAAAGGTTCCCATTTCTCTTAGACTAACTTCCCCTATAGAACTTTAATGTATGAGATCTTGTCTATGCTTCTTCCAAATTCTGTTTTTCAAAAATCTAGGGTTCATGTCAGCCTATGAGTCCAGGGGTGGGGAATCTATGGCCTTGATGCCACATGTGCTCTTCTAGTCCTTGGGTGCAACCTTCTGACTGAGTCCAAATTTTACAGAACAAATCCTTTTATTAAGGGGATTTGTTCTGTGAAATTTGGATTTAGTCAAAGTGCCACACTTGAGGACCGACAGGGCCACATGTAGCCTTGAGGCCGAAGGTTCCCCACCCCTGGACCTTGAATTTATCTTCTTCTCTATCATGAACTCTTTGCCTATGTTTATTCAAAATTTTTTCTTGTCTTATTGCTACAGCACTACTATTCAGTTCAGTGTACTACAACTGTCATTTGAAATTTATTTCCCACTCATTTCTATACTTACGATTTCTTAAAGCTAGAAAGTGATTTCACAGATCATCTACTACAACTTCATCATGTTACATATAAGGCCCAGACAGGTGAAATGATTTGTATAAGGCCACTCAGTTTATGAGATAAGTAAGACTGGAATCCAGGGTTGCTTTTAGTCTTATGTTCTTTCACTATATGGCACCGCTTCTCAGTCATAACTTAGTTTGAGTAAACAAATGCTCCATTTGCTCTCCTTCCATTAGCTAATAAGAATTTCATTTATTGTTCTCAAGTAAGCTAAAAAGAGCAAGACAGCTTTCAACCATAACGCCCCAAGTGACCTATAAATTCTTGGTTCCCCCTTAAACTAGACACTCAATTGTATGATTTTGGAACTATTCAGTAACCCCTAATTTCCTTCTTGAAAAACAAACACTTCTTTCATGTGTTATTTGTTTCAGGACAGGAATCGTTTTGCATACCCTCTGCCCAATGACAACTAAGATTCAAACTTCTGAGATATATTTAGAAAATCCCTTAAAATTCTTTCCCCAGGATTCTATCTAAATAATGAAGAGGTGGCAGAAATCTTTATGTGCCTTTTTAAAAAAAGAAAATCTAATGGACCTAGGTGCTTTTAATTTTTTTAAAAGTAAATTCAATTTTCAGCTCCATATTCTCTCCCTCTCAACTCCCCTTCCCATTGGGAAAACAAGAAAAATCAAACGTTTGTTACAAGCACAGACAAAATGAAGCAAAATAAATTCCTATACTGGCTAAATAAATTCCTTTACTGGTAAGTAAAAAAAAAAAAAAAGTCTCTCATCTATATGAGAGTCCATTACCTCGCTATCACAGGGTTGGTCATGTGTTTCATTGTGAACCCCCTGGAATTGTGGTTGGTCATTGTGTTGATTAGAGTTCCTAACTTATTCAAAGATACTTTACACAATACAGTTGTTACTATATAAATTTTTCTCCTGACTGTGTTCACTTAACTTTCAGGTCTTCTCAGTTCTCTGAAACCATCCCCTTTCATCATTGCTTATACTACAACAGTATTCTATAACATTCATACACTTGGTTCAGTCACCTCACAAGTGATGGGCACCTCTTCAGTTATGGGTCCTTTTCATCTTTCTTTGATCTCTTTGGGATTTAGATCTAGGTTATCTTTAAACTGTATCTCCCAGGGTCTTTTTTTCACATTGCTATGAACAAGATGGCTTCAGAACTATTAATGTCCCATAATATTTCCACTAAACAACTTCCCTTTCAATGATCGTATTTTGGCTATTTTTAGTTATGAAGAAATATTCTCCAAAAGAAGATCTGATGAAGAATTAAAAGAACAATAATGGAAACAAAAAGCTTTACAGCCAACAATCTTGAAGAAAATGATAATTAGGTTAGTTTGGAAGTGACGGCTTCTGCTAGCAACTGAACCGAACACACCAGCTGGGCATAAAAATAGATGGAAAATTCTATTCAAACAATAGCAGGAGTTCTAGAAAGAGGAGAAAAACTGCTTCCACACCCAAGTTCTCTGACAGAACAGACTCTAAAGAGGCTCTTGCTTGGGCATTTTAAAGCTCTTTGAGTTTAGACATTACCAACCACTCCCAAAATGTTTAGTTTTATTTCACCTGCATGCTCAGTAGGACGTAGGAACATACAATGGAAAAAGTTATTTCCAAGTCAAAACAACCTTAACCCAACTTTTAATAAAGGTGCTAGAGGCAAATGCATATATTGTATTCTGAAATGGCTTGGAAAATTTCCCCACTTTATAAAAGCTAAAAATTACACTGAGGTAAACAAATATAAAAAGTTCAGGTATTTATTAGTTCTTGATTTAAAATATCAAAAATCACAGAGATAGCAAGAAATTTCAATCTTACCTTACAGACAAATTCTTCCATTCTTTCCATGGCATGGTGAGCTTGTAAGAGGGGGGACATGCCCATAAACCCCTCATCTTCCTGAGATGGTCCATTATTGCACTCATGCTCCTCAGACTTCTGAAAAGCAATCAGAAAAATACCACATGTGGTTTACTCAGTCAGTAATAGAGACTGGAAACAAAACTATAATAAAAAAAATCAATATATTATCCTTATGGGTTAATAACAGATATCTACTATGCTCAAAACAACAGATATGTCCTAACCCAACAGAAAAATGAAGTAAATTTGCAAGCACGAAGTTTATTAGAATCTTGGTATTGGAAGATAAGGAAGAAAAAAAAAAAAAACCCAGGTCTTCTTGAGTAAAAGAATGTACAGTTTGCCATAATGTAAGTAAATGTCCTCCCAGCTGTTGTAATAGAAAATTTCTACAGCGTATATTAAGGAATAACAGTAATGGGAGTATGCAAGTCCATAGCAGGGAAATAACCATCCATCATGAATCTAGAATATAGAGAATTTATGAAAGAATATAAATTTTCCTTTAGTGGCTCCTCACACTATTACCAAACTCAGAATGTTCCTGTAAGGATAAGTGAGGGTTAAACTGTAACATAACATGCTTTGAGGAAAGTTAAATTGTAACAAAGCATGGTGTTAGAAAGTGGGTTTCTATAATTCCTTAGCTTTTGCCATGAACATGTATGTACTTGAACCAAACCTCAACAGATTGTTCTGCCAATGTTACGCTAATCTTATCAATGAACCTAGATCATGATAAACTTACCAACAGAGAAATAATGGGTGACAACTCTGAAAAACTGCTATATTGAATAAGGTCTGGAAAACAGTTTTATTATGCATTAATTATTTTTAGGTAACTATATAAAAGGTGCTCTTGCTGATTTCTCTTTGTAGTCTCTCACAAACTACCTGTATGCATATACTCTGGATGTTCCTACTTTCCTCTTTTCAACAAACTCTCTATTATTTCAAGGGTTGTCTCCACATAATTTATTTCAAGCAATCAATCAATAGACATTTATGAAATGCCTACTCTGTGCCAGTCAGTATGCTAACCACTGGTGATACAAAAAGGTGCAAAAGACAGTCCCTTCCCTCAAGGAGCTCACAATCTAACATGGGGGACAGAGTTTCAAAACAAATATGTACAAACAAGCTATATACAGGATAAATAGGAAATAATTAACAGAGAGAAAGTAATAGAAGTAAGAGGAATTAAGAAAGACTTCCTGTTGAAGACGGAAGTTCAGGTGGGACTTGACGGAAGCCAAGAAGCAGAGATGAAGGAAAGAGGGCATTCCAGGCATAGGAGACAACAGAAAAAATGTCTGGAGCTGAAAGATAGAATGACTTATGCTTGGAGACCAGTATCACTGGACCAAAGACTCCATGGCAAAAAGCAAGGTGTAAAAAAGATTGGAAAGATGGGGAGGGTGGTAGGTACAAAGTTATGAAGGGTCTTGTTTTTTGTTCCTGCTAATTTTTAAAAATAATTTTTATTTATTTCATTAAATATTTCCCAATTACATTTTTAAACCTTCATTTTTAAAAAATTTTTGAATTCCAAATTCTCTTCTTCCTTCCCACCCTCCTTACTCCTTGAGAAGTCAAGCAATGATATTGATTACACATGCAAAGTCATGTAAAACATTTCCACATTAGCCATGTTGCAAACAAGAAAGAAAAAAAGAAAGAAAGGACAAAAGAAAGAGAGAATGGAGGGAAGGAAGGAAAGGAAGGCAGGAAAAGAAGGAAGGAAGGAAAGGAAGGATGCAGAATGAAGTAAACAGAACCAGGAGAACAACTTACAGAACTATATAGTATTGTAAAAGAAAAAAAAAAACCTGTGGAAGATTTGGGAAATTTGATCCATGCAATGGCCAGTCATGAACTGTTAATGAAGTATGCGGAAACCTACAAACTTTCTGGGTAGAAACAAGGCAAAGAAGAAAACAAGCACTACCTGATGGGGCCTAAAACTAGCAAGAACTGAGTCCTGAACTTTTGGAGCAACAGCAAGACAGAACCAGTAGACACTGCACTGGTATAGTGTACAGGGATACAGGGACACGGAGTACAAGCTCACTCTAGGCTTTTTAAAGAGGCCTGAAGCCAACATCCCAACAGTCCACAATAGAGCCCCAGATGGAGACAAATCCAAACCAGTACCTAAAATTATAGCAAGAGAAAGGGCCCCAACAGCTGGGAACCTGGGGCAGCTAGGTGGTGGAGAGGGTAGAGTGCTGGGTCTGGAGGTGGGAAGGTTTTTTTTGTTTTGTTTTATTTTTTGGTGAGGCAATTAGGGTTAAGTGACTTGCCCAGAGTCACACAGCTAGTGAGTATTATGTGTCTGAGGCCAGATTTGAACTCAGGTTCCTCCTGAATCCAGGGCCGGCACTCTATCCACTGTGCCACCTAGCTGCCCTCTGGGAAGGCTTTCCTTCCAGAAGCAGACACTCACTAACTATGTGACCCTGGGCAAGTCACTTAATCCTGTTTGCCTCAATTTCCTCATCTGTAAAAGGAGCTGGAGAAGGAAATGGCAAACTCCTTCAGTATCTTTGCCAAGAAAATTCCAAATGGGGTCATGAAGAGTCAGACACGACTGAAACAACTAAACCAAAATAATAATAATGATAATAATAATCTGGGAACTACCTCATAAAGAGACTCAAAACCCACAGACTACTTCACTCAGTATCTCATCAGTCCCCATGGATTTAATTACCATCTCTATGCTGACAATTCTCAAATCTACCTCTCTGGCCTAAACTGCTGAGCTGAAGTTTCATACTGCATATGCATAATGAATAATACTTGCTCTTACATGTGATGATGAATGAAAATTTTAAAAAATCATGCAACCAATCTAACTGGGTTCACTACATATTTATATTACATAACCTCAAGTGGGCCCTCACTGCTGCTAGGCAACTATGTGATAGCTCTCTTATCAACTCACTATCCCACCCTCTATGGTGACTCTTCAAAACCTTGTCTTCCTTCTTCAAACCTCCTATGACTCACCTTTCCACTACTCTCTTAGTTGAGAACCTGGCCTCATATTTTACAGAAAAAACTTGACATCATTCACCACGAGCTCCCTCTTCTTCCCTTTTCATTTTATATCACTCAGATGCCATGTGCCACTACCTCTTCCTTCACCCCTATCTGACATAAAAAAGTAGCCTTACTCCTTAACAAGGTTAACCCCTCTACCTGCACAAGCAATCCTGTTCTATCTCATCTTCTTCAACAGATTGTTCCCTGTCATCCCCATTCTCTCACTTATTTTCAGTCTCTCCCTGTCTACTGGATCCTTCCCTACTGCCTATAAACATGTCCATGTCTCTCCTATCCTGAAAAAACTCTCACTTGATCTTTCTGCCCCACTATGATCCTGTATCTCCTCTGTCCTTTGCAGCTAAACTCCTTAAGAAGCCATCTACAATAGGTGTCTCCACCTCCTCTCTTCTTAACCCCTTACAATTCGGCTTCTGATGTCATCATTCCACTGGAAGTTTCTCTCCAAGATCTCTCAATTGCCAAATCCAATGGCCTTTTTTGTTTTTGACCTCTCACTAGCCTCTGACCCTGCTGATCTCCCCTTCTCTTTAGGTCTTCAGAACATTACTCTTTCTTGGTTCTCCTCTACCTATCAAATTACTCTTTCTTTGTCTCTTTTGCAGGATCCTCATCCAGGTCACACCATCTAACCTTAAGTGTCCCACAAGATTCTGTTCTAGGCCCTCTTCTTTTCTCCCTCTATACTACTTGGTGATCTCTTTAGCTCCCTTGGATCTATCTCTCAACCCCACCCACCTACCCCTTAACCAATCTGGTGACAAGGCCTATGGATTTCACTTGTGTAACATTTCTTAAATAGGCCCCCTTTTCTCTTCTGATATTGCCACTACCCTGATGACTCTCATCAACTCAGGATTAGACAACTGCAACAGCCTGCCTCAAGTTTCTACCCATTCCAATCCATCTTCTATTCAGTTACCAGTGATTTTCCTAAAGCTCACATCTGACCATGTCACCTCACTACTTAATAAACTCCAATGGCTCCCTATCACCTCTAAGACCAAATACAAAAATCTTCTGTTTGGCCTGTAAAGCCCTTCATAACCTTGCCTCCCCACCCCCAACCTCCACCCCACCTTTGCAGTGTGAATATTTACAACTCAGAAATCAGCATATCAGGGCTTAATTTATTGTTTTGTCAATTGTTTACTCCAGACTTAAGAAGGTGATGGAGAAAATGTTATTAATGCAGAGTAAACTTAAAACTGTATTGTTGTTCATTTTTCAGTTGTATCTGACTCTTCCTGACCCCATTTGGGGTTTTCTTGGCAATGATACTTAAGTGGTTTGCCATTTCCTTCTCCAGCTCTTTTTACATATGTGGAAACTGAGGGTTAATGACTTACCCAGGGTCACAGAGCTAGTAAGTGAAGCCGAATTTAAACTCAGGAAGATGAGTCTTCTTGGTGCCAGGCCTAGTACTCTATCCACTGTATCACCTAGCTGCCCTACATTTGGGGGGGGGGGGGGGGGGGGGGAGGGAATCTAGTTTTTAAACATTTCTCTGCATACCCCTGCCTGTATCCCATTGAGATCAGAGCCATTAGACAAGAGAGTAAGACAGCAGATGTAAAGAAGTGACTTGGTAACTCCCATCAATGGCTTTTTTTTAAGCCCCAGACTTTCCTTATTACTGGACCTAGAAGAAGGGTGATTTCCCAAAGCTGTGGATAGGCAACCCTTCATCAGCAAGGAGCCGGGATGGGTGAAGAAGTTCAAATAACACTCTGATGAATCAGTGAAACAGTGGCTGCAGAGGGTGTTGTTTAATGGAGCCAATGTAGAGACTATGTAGAGAGCAGAATTCCAAAGGCTTTGGGAAATCTCAGGTATAGAACAGAAGGCATCTCAAACTCACCAATTTCAAAAACAGAACTCATTACTTTCCCCCCCAAAAAACATTCACTTTTGCCAACTTTCCAATTACTGCTGAATATACCACCAATCTTCCCAGTTACCCAGACTCAAAGTCATAGTGTCATCTTTAATAATTCTTGTCTAGT